CCCGTCATTTCTGTTCAGTCTCTGTCTCCATCAAGGAGAATGTCTCATTGAGATGCTAGTGGGTCTTTAACACCTCTCTAAATCCTGGTAAACTGCCTTTGTAACAAAGAAAGCAGGCATCAGGCTTTGGGGCTTGGCGCAAAGCGGTGGCTAGCTAAAATGGAATGTTATTTTCTCAACACTGAATTTACTTGCTTAAAGTAGATATTTCTACTATGAACGGCAAGTAACGCTGGCTCTCCGTTTGCACGGGTAATAGGAGGCTTCCTTTCAAAATAGATGTAAGTAAAATGGGAGTTGCTCTACACAAAAATATTAAGTAAACCCTAATGCCATTGTTTTGTGCTAACCTTGTGCCAGAAAGGGCTAAATGCTTCCCAAGAATTAATCTTTAATCCCCCTGCCGCTGTGAGGTGCAGAGGACAGTGGGGCAGAGAGTGCATGGACTGTGTCCAAGGTCACTGGATAACTGGAGAAGGAGCTGGGAATTTGAACTCAAGCATTCAGCCTCCCGCAGGGCCCCCCACACCAGGGACCAAAGCTGGTGGCCCAGGGCCGCCTGGGTGGCTCAGTCGGTCAAGCTTCTGCCTTTAGCTCAGGTCATGATCCCAGGGTCCTGGGATCGAGCCCTGAGTCGGGATCCCTGCTCCACGGGGAGCCTGCTTCTCCCTCTCCCTCTGCTGCTCCCCCTGCTTGTGCTTGCTCTTAATTTAACTTAATTTAATTTTAAAAAGCTGGTGGCCCAGGGAATGCAGACCAGCCCTCCTGCCTCCAGCCCCAGCCCAGCTCGGTCCCAGCACTTGAGGAAGTCACCCTAAAGGCTCAGGCTTCATTTGGGACAGCTTCATCTTCCTCTTCCCAAACTCTGGGTCCCTAAAGCCAAATGGTTTGTGCTCTCCCCCCACCCCCAAGCCAGAGGGTCTCTCTCTCTCTCTCTCTCTCTCTCACACACACACACACACACACACTGCCATCCCACTTGAAGCACTCACTCAGTCTGCTCTTGAACTTTCTCTCACTGTTCTGTCGGGCCCTGAGCAGCGGCACAAGGAAGCTGGTAAGCTTTGCTTCTGCCACAGTTGTGCCCTGCTGGACAGGCCAGAGGCTTCTCGCTCCAGCGAGTTTGGGCCCCAAAGCCCTCTGCAGCCCCTCCCCCACCCTCACCAGCCCTGCACAGCCCCTCAGGGACCCTGTGCGAGGTAACTGGATTTCTCCCCTTGTCAGTTTGCAGTGAAAATGTCATGTATTCGGGAATGCAGGGAAGAGGGCTACACCCCCATTCGGCGACTGCAGCCCAGAGCTCGAGCCCTGCGGAGGCCACCCAGCCCGGCAGCTACGGCCAGCGTCCTCACACCCACCCTGTGCCCTCTGCCCTCGCAGAGCTGATCTGGCGGTCACAGTGGGTCCCAGCAGGTAGTGAGGCCTGCACCTGCCCTGCCTCCCTCCTCTGTGAGCGAGCTGAGGTGGCTCCCCTCCTCTCTCTGGGCCTCAGGCACCCTCTGCACAGTCCGGGGCTCAACTACCCCTCTGCTCCCCCAAATCTCGCCATCAAAACCGCCTGCTTTGTGAGAGGCAGGCTCTGGGTCACTTCCCTTAGCACGCCTGATAGAGCCTGTGGGGGGGCGGGCCTGGGGATCTGCATCTGCAACAGGGCCGTAGGTGATTCTGACGGACAAAGGGGCAATAGAGGAAGGGTCCAGAATGTGGGCTCTGGCCTCCGTTTGATCCTCGCTCCGCCCCCCGGCTCACTCAGGGCCCCAGGGCAACTTAGGGGGGGCCCACAGTGTGCTCCGCAGGGGAACAGAGATGACAGTGCTAGTACCTAAGTTACAGAGTTCTGGTGGCTTCTGAATGACATCGAGTGCCCGGCACAGTGTCAGGCACACGGCACGCTCAGCAGGTCCCTCCTGTCCTCACGGGAGACGCGCAGGAGCAGGTGCCTTCCCTACCAGCCGGGGAGGGGCAACACTAGTCTTCAGAGCCCAGCACTAGGCCCGCTGGGGGGCCCGGGGGCCCGGGGCACTGTGGCCGCTCTAGGCCAAAGCCCCCAGCACAGGCAGTTGGTCCAAGGCGCAGCGTCTGTGGCGGAGGTGTGGGGGCTGCTGCGGCCCCTCCCTTCCATGCCCACATCTCTCAGCCGCCAGGCAAGGGTGAGCCCGAGGCCCCGAGAGGCGGGATGGACCGGATCATCACCCCTTCTTAGAGTTGAGGAACAAGGCTCTCGAGAGGTTAAGTGAACCATCCAAGGTCACAGACCCACCAAGCAGAGCAGGGCCTGCACCCGGACAGGCTTCCTCTGGGGCCCAGCTGGGGCCAGGGTAGGGTAGCCTTCCCTGCCCGCAGGGTCAGGCATCCGAGGGCAGGGGCTCTTCCTCAACCCACAGAGCCAGAGTCCCCAGTCGGGGACCTCTGCCAAAGGGCCGGGTTCTGGTCCCAGTTCCAGAGAGATGGGAGGCAATGGAGGGCTCCTTGAAGAAGCTGGCAAAACTGGAGTCGCTATTTTGCCCGGTCTCAGGCTTGGTGTGTCTGGTGGGAAGATGGAAACATGGCCTCCACCTGCAGCCTAGCTAGAGGGTAGGGTGAGGTAGGGTTTGGAGAGCCAAGGCCTTAGAACTTATGGAAGGAGGGCCCAGGTGACTGGGTAGTCAGGGAGATGGAGCTGGAACAGGCATTCAGACCGGGCAGCTCCACTCACCAGGTAGCCCCAACCAGAGAGGCAACATGACTCCACGGGAGAGGGGGAGCTCCCCTTTCCAGCCCCACAGAGGCGGCAAAGGCCCAGTGAGATCCAAGCTGTGGCTCACATGCCGGGGGCAGAGGGGAGGGCAGCTCTCCCCAAGGCAGCCAGGCCGAAAATCCAACCTGACACGGAGATACAGGGCTTCGAGGATCATCCCTGGAGATTAAGAGAAACCTTCCCTGAAATCTGCCCTCAAAGCAGCCCAGTCTGGGGGGTCCTGTCACACAGCAGGCGGTGGGGGGCGGGAGGCAGAGGAAGAAGGGCCCACCCGCCTCAGACAGGAGGACTAGGGCCAGGATGCCCACCGGCCCCGGCTCATCGGGCTCTGCATCGGGCCACTGGGAGCAACAAGCCTCTAACTGCTCAGAACCTTCTCGCGCCGTCGTGAGTCCTCGTGGTCTCTCGGTGTGCGCAGGTGAAAGCCTCACTGAAGGCCATTCAGACAAAAGGCAGGGAAAAGGCCCCCGGACGCTTGCTGCTACACGGGCTGCACAACCCAAGGTGGCACTTCCGTCTGCACACTGCCCCTGCCTGGGGGCCGGACTGGCGCAGCTTACTTCAGACCGGGGCTTGACGGGAAGCACAGCAACAGCTGGCGAACTCTGCCCAGAGCCCAAGGGGCACAGGGAAGCAGAAGGGTCGAGAGGCGGGCTCCCCGTTCAACCACAGCAGCTCTGCTGGGCCTGTGCTGGGTGTGTTGGACAAGAAATAGCACTTCTTTCTCAAACAACCCACTTCAAGGCCCCAAGCCCTCCCCTCAGGCTGGCTAACAAGTGTCTGGAGGGGCCTCTGCCCCGGGGTAGGTGTGGCCCTGGTGCCCCAGCTCTCCCCACCTCCCAGGGCCTGCTCCACGCAGTCTCCTTCTAGTCCGGGGCAGGGAGGAAAAGCCTGGTCTCCCCTGCCTTCTCTGAAGGACCCTCAATTCTCCTCAGAAGGCCCAGGCTTTGGGAACAGAAACTAAATTCTAGACAAAAGGCAGTTCTCAGCCCTGAATCTGTGGACCCGGACTCATACCCCTTAAAGGAACTTTATATATTGGGGGTTCACTCAAGATTTATTTCTTCAGAATCCCACAGCTTTGCAAAGGAAAAAGAAAGGGAAAGCCTCGCCCCAGAGGGCCATGCAGGGGTGGGTGGGGGGAGTTTGAGGGAAGGGGGAGTGCGGGGCAGGGTCCTTCCTTCCCCACAGCTGTCAGGCTGGAGCCACAGGAAAGTGGAGGCTGGGCAAGCGTGTGGCAGACCTGGGTACCACCTCCCCTCACCCAGGCCCCGCGGGAGCCGCTCCTTTCCCTCCTTTCCCTTTCTGCAACGCCCCCAAGGGCCCAGCACCCTCCCCACCATATGCACATCATTAAGGGAAGCCATGTTCCAACAGCTGCTGAAAAATCAAGACACAGAGAACACGGAGAAAGCAGTCCTGTTCCAGCACCACAAAGCTTCTTCACGACTGTCTGTGATCAAGGCCACCAGCCCCCTCAAGGGCAGTGGCGAGCACAGGAGCACCGGGGTGTATGTGTGGGGAGAGGGGAGGTGGGGTCCTCTTCCTAGGCAATATGCCCAGGCTCTCAGGAGGAGGGACAGAATCAATCTCGATCTCAAACTCACCCCAACCTCCCCACATACACCCCATGATGGTTTGCTCCAGAGCCCTGGTCTTCAAGGAGCATCTCCCAAACCTGCATTCCTCCCCCAACCCCAGAAGAATCCTAAGAGGAGGGTGAAAAATCTGGTCCCCAGACAAAGAGAAGGCCTCAGGCTCACCCAGCCTCCCCCTGACCACTGTGAGCCCAGAGCCCTCAGTCATCCTCCAACAGGGCCTCCACGCAGACCCAGGGCTTACCAGCCACAACTCAAGGCCTCCACTCATCCACATGCACTGAGTAGTCAGTGCCAAGACCTCCTGCCTTTTAGAGAGTGTGGCTTAGCAGGGAGGCTGAACAGCCTCTAGTCAGAGCCCCTGGGCAAGGGGCCCTGCACCCCAGCTGTCCCAACCCCATAGCCTCATTGGCCATTCTGGCCAGAGGACCCCCCCCACCCCCCGCGCAGGCTGACATCTCAGTCAGCCAGAAGTCACCCAAGCATCAGACAAGGGGCCCACATCCAGGCTTTACCTGGACCCCCTCCAGGCTCCCAGCCCCCCACCCCGCCCCGAGTCAAATGCCCACCTCCACCTTGTTCCCAGTTCCAATCACCCCCAACCACCTTCCTCGTGTCTTCCAGATGTGCATGCAGCCATGCAATTACTTATGAATGTCTTTACATGGATTCATTTTTAGTTAAATTTATTTATTGAAAAGGCCACCACAATTAGATGCCTGTACGACTTGTCATAAATAACAGGTAGCCAATTAAAATATACCATTAAAACAAAACAGAGCTATAAAAGTCTGGAACTTTTCCCGATGGCTTTAAGCCCAAGGCCTTCTCCCTAGTAACAGGGGAAGTCAGGCATGAGTTCCGGAGGCATGAGAACATACTGGCACCAAGCTGAGACTTTCTTCTTGGCATAAAAGGATTGGAAAAGAATTGGAAAGGGAATCCCTTTCTTGCTCTGACTCTGTGCTTAATGCAGGCCCAATACTACCTAAAAACATCTCAAGGGAATGTGGGTATCCACCCAATACTTTGGGAATGCAGGACAAGAGGCTTCCTCTGCCTCGTGCTTCACGCACCATGGAATGCCTTCTATGAGCACACCTTCAAGGCACCACCAGACCCCTTCCCAAGACCCCAAAACTCCCTCTCCCGCATGCCTGCCCCGCGCGCTCCCAGAGGTCACCGCTGACTCAGGTGGGACACCAGGTAAACGAGGCCCACCAGCAGGAGTCCACGCACGCCGAGCATCATGAGCAGGAAGAGGAGCAAGATGGAGGTCACTGGCTCCACAGCATGGTTGCCCAGATGCCACTGGGGGAAGCCCATGTTCACCAGCTGCCGGTTGAGGTCATTGAAGGGGGATGGAGCAGCACCCAGCCTAGCCCCCGCCTGCTGCTGGCGAGGGCCCGAGCCCCCCAGGGGGGCGCCATGGCCCCTATTGAGAAAGCTCTGAAAGGTGAAGACAGAGAGAGAGGAATGAATCCAGAGAAAGCGTCCCCGGAGATGAAGTATCCGGCAACAGGGGAATCTTCTAGGCTAGGCCCCGCCCTCCTCTCCAGCCCCCAGAGGGCCACACCTTCCCCAGATGCCACCCCACAGGGATCCCCGTCACTGAGTCACAAGCTCTCAGAGTACAGAAAACGCCAGGCTATACTCCTCACGTCCTGCCAGGGAGAAGGTGCCCAGGTCCGAGAAGAGGAAGGGGGCAAGGAGGGCTGGACTATAGGGCAGAGCTTGGGAGCAGCCATTTCTAATACTCCTCACTCCCCCCCTTTAACACCATCACTGGGTGGCCATGGGCTCCTCTTCTCCACCTTCTCCTGTTCTCTCTCAGCCAACAGACTCTTAAAAGAAAGATGTAGGCTCCAGCGGGGATAGTCAGGTCAAGGGCGAGAGGGCTCTTGGATTCCAGGTCCGGGAAGGCTGCCCGGAAAGATGAGAACTGGGGAGGCAGGTGGCTCCTATTGCAGACTGCAAGAAATCTGCCATTTTCCCCAAGTCTGGACCCGCATGCTCTTTAGCCCGGCTCTCTGCAAAGAGGGCTCCTGGCTAGAGAAGGCGAATGACTAGCCAGAGAGCTTCTGGTCGCTAAGGAGTAACGGACACGGAGGGCAGGAGGCGAACTGCTCCCCTGGGCGCCTACCTGTCGGGGGGTGCTACCGCGCGAGGGGAGACTGTTCCTCACGCGGGGGTCGTCATCCTGCACAATTTCCCCATTGGCCAAGATCCGCACCATCCTCCCAGGAGCGATGGGTCCCTGCTGGGCTGCGCCTTTCCCCAGACCTCAAAAAGCTGAAAGAAAACAATTTATCAGAGATAAGGAGATGCTTGCCTTCAGTGCGAGCAATGGCAGTTCTGGGTGCCCACGCTGGTTACCCGGACTGAGCAGGCGCTGCGTCCAGTTAATTACAAGGACAGAAATCAATGCAAGTTATCCGACAGTTGAAAATCTTTCAGACACTGAGTCCGCTGGGAAAACTACCAAAGGGAGCCTTGTTGCTGGAAGTTCTGCGACCCAGCAGCGCCAGCAACCGCAGGGATGAGAGCCTTGCTGTGCGGCCCAGGCCCCATCTCACACCGCCCCACACTCTGCGGAGCTGGGTACAGTCAGAGACCCAGAGGGGTCTAACTGGCTTGCCCAGGACCACTCATCTGGAGGCAACAGAGACATACCCTGAAGCCAGGAACCCTGGCGCTAGGCCCTTCTCTGGGCTCTAAACAGGGAGTCCAGGGCACCCAGATCCCCAGTGTCGCCCTTTCCCGTCCGTTAAAAAGGGCCCATTGGGAGTAAATGCCAAGGACCTGGGCCTTCTCCGCAGAGAGGATCTGGGCCCACTTCAGAGCTACTTTAGGTGCACTGCCTGGCAGCAGACCACACTCAAGGCCACAGGGCCACCAGGGCGCTGGCTGGAGGAGCGGACCCTTCCGGCAGGGGGCACGCCCCTCGCCTGCCCCTCACCTCTCAGATGACACCAGTCCCGCCTTTGCTATCGGGGGCGGGGCCAGCCTGCCCAAAATAGCGGATGGCTCTGGGAGGGCCCCACTCCGCAGACCCCAAGGGTGTCCGTGGGCTGGAGGTGGGGGTGGGGTCCTTCCATGGCTCTCCCCGAGTCTGTGTAAAAGCCATTTTTTCTCAGGAGACAAGCCACAGTTTTCACCTAAATTCTGAAAAGGACTTGTGACACACACGCCAAAAGGGGTTAAGAGCCCCTGTTCTGTTGCCCTTGGCCTAGAGCCTGGGACAGGCGGGGTCCCCTTTCTGAAGCCCGCTGGTCCCTGCAGAAGGCCAAGCGGGTCACGGAGCTCCGCAGTCCCTCGGTGCTTTGTCCCCCAGCGCCCCCTGGGTGGGCTGAGGCCGCAGCCGGCTTGGGGACACCTGACTCGGGGAGGGGGGCGGTCGCGGGGGGCG